TAATTTATTCAACATTTATTCAAAAATGATGACATGAAAAAAAGAAAACATAAGTATTAAATAACAAATTAATTGAAATAATAAATGGTGTATTATTAAAATTGTCAGACATATATCAGAAATTAATAATAACTGAGTTGTTAGTTAAAAATATAATTCTTATTATATCGTCTTTAAAAATAAATGAATTACTATATAAAAAAGATATCATCTAAAATCAATGAACTACATAATATTTAAGATGGAATGATGGTATTTACAATGTAAATTAAATAGTCATTTGAAATTACTAATAAAATGTAATAGAACTGAGTTTCCTTTATGATTTAAAATATATAAAATCACATTTAATGATTGAGTGAATAAAAATAAATAATAAATAATACAAATGAAAACAATTAAAATAACGATGATATTCATAAACATAAAATATACTAACTAAAATTTTCATTATTAAAGCATTAAGCAAGAATGTGTATAACTTAAACAGAATTTTATAAAAGCTAGTAATTATTCTTGGATAATTTATCTGGTTATATAATATTCATATAATTAATCATTTTATTTAATTTATTATTTGTTTAGATTATTATATAATATATCTTTTAATTCTTGTGTTTTTAAATAATTAGAAAATCATATTACATCATCTATATTAAAAATTAAATATAAATAAACAAGTATGATTTCATCAAACAAATAAAGTTGAGTATAAATTGATTCAGTATATTAAAATGATTTTTGAAATAATACTGATAATTAATAAAAATATGTTAAATGTCATGAATAAAATATGGGATATTTAATAAAAAAATGAAGAAATGTAACATATCTTAACCATTTGTTAAAATTAATAATAAATTTAAAATTAATTAAATCTATTTTTAAAAGAATAAGATGTATTTGTTTATAACAATAATACAATAAAGAATATATATACATAAAAGATGATTTAATGATGTAATATATTTAAATAAGTTATTGGTACAATCAATTTGATTAATTAAATACTCAATTCATCAATTTTTTTTTCAAAAAATAAATGAATTAGAATAAATATTTTAACACTAACACTTAACTTTGACTATTCTATTACTTTTATAACAAATAAAAACAATTGGTGTTTGTTGATTAAATTAATCTAATACATTT